TGCCGGTCAAAGGTCTTCTTTGTTATTTATTGTGCTTTAAAACAAATTGATATGATTCGATATTAAACAAACTAATTATAGGCTAGTAGATTAACTATTCAAAAGTGTTTAGTAATTTACAATAACACGGGAATAATAAACGGAGCGCTCTCTCCCTCTCCTGACAGCCCGTCAGTATCATGCAGCTCCCGGATCAGTAATAAGTGACCCGACAGTAAAACTAAACATATCTATAACTAGTTACGGTAGTTTGAGAGGTAATTAAAATAGCTACGTGTGATATTCTAACCTGAAGTGTGTGTTTGTTGCTCTGCTCACCGCTGCAGGTGATTATGCAGAGCTGCGTGTCGACACGTCAGCAGCAGCTGATCTCTCTCTCCCGTCAGATTAGACTTCACTCGCGTTTATTTCCATATCGATCAGATCCAGCTAGTTCTAGCTAATGATATGACTACCTGCTTATTAAAAGACACCTAAACAATAAGTGTCGCTATGCAACCGGGTGAGGCCGCAAAGTATAGCGCAGCATTATGCATTTGTTGACATGCCCACCGGAGCCCCGAGGCATTACCAACAGATCAAAGCACAATCAACCCATACAGGACATCTCTTTCTCCACATTAAGTGTTAGACATTAGAATTGACTATTCTTGTCTGTCACATACTCTTTTGTCTGTCACATCAGTTGAGTGGTAATAGTTAAAGACGTCTACAGACTCATCAGGAAGAAATGAATACTCAGATACAGGATGAGATGATACCTGAGGTGTAAACGAACACCTCCTCCAACACAAACAGAGAGGCAGAGTGAAAGAGAAAAGGGACTCTTCCTGGTGATCATCCGAGCTCAGTCTGGTCTCTGGTGGTACAAAGCTCATCGTAATCCCACTAATCTGTTTCCACTCTGTCAGTAGGTCATCCCCACACAGGCACCACAGCCTCCTTCCTTCTCCACACAAAACATCTCAAATCACCCCAATCTGCATATATGATTTGATTACTTTTATCTTCCTTTTCAGTTAAAGTTGTATAAATTAAGAAAAATGGGAATATACGAAGCGGAATGTGAATACCTTTATGTATAATGGTAAATATTTGTGATGTCGGTTCTTTATTTGCAGGTCCCATTGTTATTATTATTATTATTATTATTATGCGCTGCTTTCCCCCTTCTACTCCAGTAGGACTCAGATGAGGGTGTTGCACTTTTCTTTGTACATGTGATGTTTTGGTGTTGTTGTTTTTTTGTTTAGTTTCTTTCTGTCAACTGGGAACTAAGTATTTTTCTTTTGTACGTTTTTGTGATTCTCTCATTTTCCTACGATGCTGTTATGATTGGCTGCGAATAAGAAAATGCTAACCCCCTTTTCAGGTATGGTGTGTTTATAGACACATAACGTTCTCAGTGAGGTACTCAGATGAGTAGCTGGAGTCAGTGGTTGGTACTCCAACTTCTGGCTCCACTCAAAGTTATGTGATGAAGCCCTCTGTATCGCGAACGTATCACGGGGGCTAGTGGAGTACTTCAGGAAAGTCGACGTGGGAGGGGGGGGGTGCTAGTGCTGGAGTACTTTGTGACCACAGAGCGTGAACGTTGTGATCAGCTGTTTTTGCGCAATTCTCCAGTGTGTGTGCAGGGCACAGAAGGGGGGGGGGGCACAATTCCGTTGTACAGACCGACGTTAACAGCAGCCCTGTCTGACCGATTGTCACCTTCACATGTACGTCGGTACGCAAAGGCGCTTTGTGACACAAGTGAAGGTACGCATTTTAGATTTTTGCACCTCTGTTTATAGAGACATGTTTTGCAAATAATTGTTATACATTAAGTTGAACGGAACAAATTAAAATGAAATGTATTTTTCTCCAGACCCTTCTTTGTAAGATAGTCACCATGTGGTTAATTGTTATGTTGACTTTTGATTGTGCTTTCATGTTACTGTTGGTTTGGAAGCAGCTGTGATTATTTGTGATAACGGTCAGCTGTGAACTTATTTGTTTTTATTTGTATTAACGTTTGCTTGCGACTTAATTTAATATGCAAGTTTACTCTTTACTTTGCGTTTTTATGTGCACTGTACCTTTGCTGTAACACTGTAAATATCAAAGGATTCCTGGACGGTTAAAATGTATACTAAGACTTTGTCCAAACAATGTATACAGAACTCTTGGGGATTTTGAACTAAGATCATTAATTCACTTATAAAAAGAAAATATAACATATAAACAACAGTGGGTCTGTGAGCAAAAAACTATTCCAGGCCCTTAAACAGAATTTGTATTATTATTAAAAAACTGAGATAAAGAGAAAGACTCTTACCTGGTTCCAACTTTATGATCTTCACAGCAGCAAGCTCGCTAGTTTGAATGTTTCGCGCCTGAAAAACAACAACAACATATTGGTCAGGAATACTGTCAATATTACTGCTTTAATCTGAACTCGTGGCCCAACTGTTAAAGACAAAACAAGTAGTTTGATTGGTCAATAAACGGCTATTTGATAGTTGATTTTGACATTTTTCTGTTAAAAAAAACGCAAACATTTCTGAGTTCCAGCCAGGGACTCAAATGTGAGGGTTTCGTCACTTTTTGGTTGTTTTATTTGATAATATTGAATATGTTTTGCTTTTGGACTGTTGGCTCACCTAATGTAGGGTTAGAGTAATTACAATGGACAACTTTTAATATTTTCTTACATATTTTAGATGAGTGAAGGATAAATTAAATTCAATATACTGAAAAAATGTTGTCTGTTGTAGCCTTGAGCTCTATAGCATGATACTGTATTCTGACGGTTCATCCCTTACAGCTTTGGCCTACATAAGCTTTAAACCAATAAATGCAATTTGGATAATCCTTTCGACTCAGAGAGAAGTGGAGTGGAAATATTGAACTGTGGTATATGACCACAACATCTCTATCAGTCAAATTCAACATCAGTACATACTTTCCTATTTTTTGTGATTGGTATTGCATTGAATTAAAAAAGACAGCGGAATTTTGAACACATGAAACAAGGAGTAACGCACAATACATTAAGTACACATTTATGAACAACAGTTATTACATTTGAATAGAGGCTGTATTGTGTTGCGATCTCCAGAAGTAAAAAGCTAATGTTGGGCTATAAAGGAACTACAGCACGGTCACATGACTTCACGTCACCACGCTAAGCTAAAGGCGGCTAATGTTGGGCTATAAAGGAACTACAGCACGGTCACATGACTTCACGTCACCACCGCTAAGCTAAAGGTGGCTAATGTTGGGCTATAAAGGAACTACAGCACGGTCACATGACTTCACGTCACCACCACTAAGCTAAAGGTGGCTAATGTTGGGCTATAAAGGAACTACAGCACGGTCTCATGACTTCACGTCACCACCGATAAGCTAAAGGTGGCTAATGTTGGGCTATAAAGGAACTACAGCACGGTCACATGACTTCACGTCACCACCGCTAAGCTAAAGGCGGCTAATGTTGGGCTATAAAAGAACTACAGCACGGTCACATGACTTCACGTCACCACCGCTAAGCTAAAGGCGGCTAATGTTGGCGTGCTGTAGTTCTTTTATAGCCCAACATTAGCCGCCTTTAGCTTAGCGGNAGGTTAACGGATTAACGAGCGCCACTTAAAACTAAAGCAACATCCTGTCCTTTAGCTGATTAACTGCTAACGTTGCTAACGGAGCTAACGTGCTAACGGAGGTAAGGTCGGTCCAAGACAACGGGACCTGAAGTACAACATGAACACTGCCAGAGAACAAGGAAGAAGAAGAGGGGAGTGTTAGGATTGATTTTCTGGACCTAAAAGCTAAAGAAATAGCGAGAAAAGACCTGAAAATATCAAAAAACAGAAACTACTTGAGGTTTTTGTTTGAATTCACGACAAGTTGACATTATATATCCATTAGCGTTGGCTATGGAGGAAATGCTCAAATTGGCCGTTTTAATCCCAAAGGAAGGGTTCCTCAAACGGCCTGATTTACTCAAGGACTTTTTTTTCATTTTGAGGATTATGTACATTTTTAAAAAGATGCATTTGTAAATCCTCTGAACGAGATGCTGTTCCTGATCAGGAAAACTAGTTTTTGAAACCACTTTGAGGGAAAACGGCTGAGTTCTTCACTTTTATTCAATCTAAAAAGTGAAAAGTAAAAGTTTTTTCTGACTTGTTTGAACCCCAAGCTTCCATCAGTGGGTCTTTTTGGACCCTGCTGAGGTAGTGGTTTTCTTGAAGTATCATTTCATATATCCAAGCTATTCCTCAAAAACATACATGTTTTGGATATCATGCCATTTAAATGTTTAATCACATTTTAAGAAATTGTAGTTTTGTTTATTCTTCGCCACAGCCTTCATAAGTGTGTCAAAAGTGACCCGCATGCATTTCCTATGGGATCCCTCTGATTCTTATCACCTGTTGCTGTCAGGAATACATTCACTGTAGACACACACAGACCACATCACATGTGACACCTCTCAGGGAGATTATTTTACCACAGCAAGATGGGAAACCTGTCAGTGTAATAACTAATTAATTAATAATAATACATTATATTTGTATAGGGCTTTTCAAGGACTCAAAATCCCTTTGCAATATAAGGGAAGGTTAGGGGTGGGGGGGTATGGGACTATCAAACTGATCAACCGTCATGGATTGATGGGGGGGGGCTATGAGTCGACAAGAGGAGAAGAGATGAGTTTTGAAAAGGGACTGGAATACTGTGGAGGGTCTCAGAATAGCGGAGATCTTTGCATCGATATGTTCAAACGGTTTTTTTCAAAATGTAAACAAAAAATCTAAAATTATAAATAGCGAAAAATTAAATATAAAATATTTCTAGTTTGAACCAAAATGTAATACTAAATTATTATACAAGTGGTTTTTCTAACCAAAATGACAGAAATTGCATAAAAACACATTATTATTATATCCTTTTTACTCATGGAAAGGAGAGGCGGGGTCCATCACTCGGGCATCTGAGGGGGGGGGGGGGGGGTTTATTGGCATGCCTGCATTTTAAAAGTGATTCAAAGAAAGTGTAGATTCAAAAGTATCTTCAGAAGAAGGCGCTCAGCGGTTGACATGTACGACATGTTGATGGATGGAGTCATGACATGAATTCAAGTCTTTTCAATTGACTTTTTTTAATGATTATTATAAATGTTTAAATTATTAAACACAGCCAGCTTTTAGAAAACTCATCTATTAAACAATACGTTGCCCCGCGGCTGTAAAATATAGGACTGAGAAAGTAGAAGATGTGTGGTCGTTCTGCACGTCTTTCTGGACGCGTTCTGGATCTTTCGTTTCGTGTTTCTCTTTTTGCACTTGAGACGGTTTTGATTCTCTTTGTAGAAATGTGGCGTCTCTTCATGGATTTATTGCAGACGTTCTGAGCGACTTGTTTGGCCTTTTCTTTGGAGAAGTTTTATGTAGACGTGTTCTCGTTGTTTCGCTCCTTTTTTAGTTTCTTGTAGACAATTATTCTTTTATTGCATTTGGAACGGCCTGATCCTCTTTGGGCTCTTTGCGTCTCTTCAGGGATTTATTGCAGACGTTCGGAGCGACTTGTTTGGTCTTTTTGCACATTTTTAAGGAATTCTCTCTTTGTGATTGTTCTGCACATCTTCGGAGAGGTTTGGTGACTCTTCGTGGATTTGTTCTGGTGGTTTCGTTTCTCTCTTGGTTTCTTGAGAACGTTTCGTGTTTCTTTTATTGCATTTGAGACGGTTTTGATTCTCTCTGCTCATCTCTTCCTGGACTCTTTGCGTATCTTTGAGGACATGCTGCGTCTCGTTTGTGGTACTCTTTGCATCTGAAGTCTTCCTTTCGACTTGATTCTTCCCGATGGTCCAGTTTTCTGTGCAGTGTGTTCTTCTGCTCCAGAGTCTAAACCCTGCAGTGTTCGCTCTGTCTTTACGGCCTGCTGGCTCACAATGAGCTCCGGAGGGACGCTCCTCTTAATGCCCACAATAAAACCCTGCTGTATATTAAATAATATGACATAGAGCAGCACTGAGCCTCTTTGTGTCAGAAGGGCTCTTGAAGGAGTGGAAAAAACCAAACAGGATTTCAGATCCATTTTCTGCTGTTTGCTTTGGAGGCGGAGCCGTAATGATTTAAATCTCCGTTTACGACCGTGAGTCACCGAACAGCGAGTTTCCATCCAGGAGGGAGGTCTGAGGAACACACACACACACACACACACACACACACACACACACACACACACACACACACACACACACACATATACTGTACATGTGTGTGCGTGTGCGTGTGCGTGTGATAGCCGGCGTCCACTCACTGCAGGTGGACACATAGGTTTATAGCTGTATTTATAATGAAAGATATTTAACATTTCATAATTCATATTGAACTCAGATATGACAGAGGTGCTGGTCAGAGCTAATGATTACATGTTGAGACTCAAAGAGACTCAAAAAAAAACACGACATAATTTGACCAAAAAGAAACAAACTACGACCACAAGGAGAAACCCAACCCCTAAATTCACAGAATGAGCCTCAGACACTCGAGCGATACAAACAACCACACGGATGCAACATGTCTGAAAGCTGAATGGCCTCGAGAAGACAGAGTGATGCATCAACGACTAGAGACACAGAAAGGGGAGGAGCTAAGCTGACGGAGATATTCAAGACATTTACATATAACTAGTAAAAGATGAAATCATAAATCATTTTATTTAAATAATTATTTCGATTATATTAAAGGTTTCTTTTCCTCCACTTACTGTTTCTGAGACTTTGACATGTGCAATTGACACCTTTATTTACATATTTTAAAATGTACAAATGAAGAAACCTCTTTATTTATTTGGCTTCCAGAAGAAAATAGGAATTTATATTTGAAAGGATTTACTTTTATAATCACTAAGGCTCTAAAAGTCCTAAATGTGTCTCCGCCGTGTGATAATCACCTGTACCTGAATCAGACTCACCTGAGATGCAGCTTCATGTCACGGACAACAGCGACACCCTGTGGACAAATGGTGCAACTGCAGCGAACATCCGAAAAAAAGAAATCGGAGAATAAAAAAGTGGTTTTTTGTGTTTGCACACTTTAAATAAAGAGGTTAATGTACGTTTTAAAGGTTTTAAACAAACCAAAGAGTCTCCACTTTAACATGGTACAGATTTAAAGAGTTTAACAGTGGGTTTTGATTGAGATGTGGATTTCTGTAGATGGGGTGAAAGAAACTGCATGAGACGAAAAAAGGGAATAAAAGAGGTTGAATGTCGATCTTTGATGCCTGGTCGAATCAGGGAAATAAAGGTGTATTATTATTATTTTAAATTAAATCAGAAGGGAAAGCTCAGGTGTAAAGGATCATTAATTTACGACAGCTGGATATAATTAGTGTCACTTGAATTGACGTTTAGAGACACCTGAGACTTTAGGAACACAAAGACACTGATTTCATATATTGTATTTTCAGTGTTTAAATCTGAATGGACTGAAGAGAAACTAGAATTTAACACATTTGACTTATAAGTGATATTTGTACTTTGTGTATTTGAATTAATAAAGTTTAAAAAATACCAAAATAAACACATTTATAAAAATCTAATTGTATTTTGTAAATTCCAATGTGAAAAAATGTACAATTGAAAGTAGATATAACTATTTATGAATGGATGTGATTGGTTGGCGAGTTGCTCGGTAGATGAACGCTGCTGTGTGTGAATATCAAGTGTTCAGCTTCAAAGCCAAATCCATGTCAGACATCCAAAGGTGACAGCAACATGCTTCAAACCCTTAAACCAAATGATTGGTGTAAAAACTCGTCTTCTCTCCTGAAGATCGTAACATTGACCAAGGTGAGAAGGAGTGAGGAATCGTCCACAATCTGACTTTTAGCCAACTTTCCAAACATTGCTCCATTTCTTACCAAATGCACAAAGAAAATGCAACTTCCCGTCTGCTCCCAAGCAGCTCTCCCAGGGTGTGGGCAGTGGGATTTCCTCAAGGCTTCTTTTTAAAGAAACATTCCCACTCAGGACACAGCAGGGGTCCACTTGTGAATTGGAAGGTCAGCGGCCCAGATCGATGCCAGTAGTTTCCTCCCTCACTTTAAATACTGATATAGAATATATAGATGAAGCAGAGAGTCATTGTATTATTTACTGAAGGAGTTTCAGTCTGAATCCAGAGCCATCTGTTGATCAGACCCTCAAAGAAACATCGATTATTAAACTACCATCAAACGAACCCGTTTGTTAATGTGGTCAGAAACCCTAACCGGCTTCTCCATGTTCAGACACCAGTTCTGTAATATATATATATATAAAGCCAGATATGCGTGTGCTTATTGATTAAGTGTATATTTACTGAAGGTGTTGAAGGAGGACTTTACACACATTTAGTTAAAAATCAAACAATTTCTTGAATATTCAGATCCAAAATTAACCCTTTAATGTGGTCAGACAGGCCCTGCTTTGTTCAGACACCCTTTCTGTGATACCCAGGTTCATTCCCTTTGGCACCTCATTGGACTTCTCAAGGACTCCTCAAGGACCGTTACCTCCTTTCCCATGACCCAAAGACTGACTCAGCGTTTCACTGAAAATGGGTTATTTCAACGTGGAACAGGAAAATAAGGTCTAAACAAATCCAATAGGCTAACTAGCTCCTACGCGCTACAGCCACTCAAATCTCTCACCAGCTAAACCCTTTTCACGGTTCATTACTAAACACAGTATTTATCATCATTATTTCTGCGATTAGATCAAATATAAAAGATATTTGATGCAACTTTAGTTACATTTCCATGACTTTTCCAAAACTTGGGAAAAATATGGTTTTCCAGGGCCTGGAATTAGCATTTTGAATTTCCATGACTTTTCCAGGTTTCTAATGACGTGTGTGTGTGTGTGTGTGTGTGTGTGTGTGTGTGTGTGTGTGTGTGTGTGTGTGTGTGTGTGTGTGTGTGTGTGTGTGTGTGTGTGTGTGTGTGTGTGTGTGTGTGTATAATATAAGAAATGACTGGAGAGACGGTTTGTTTCCACGGTTCTTTTATTCTCCTCTCAGTAAAACGCTTAGAAGAAGGTGTTGGGCCTCTTGGTGGTGAAGCGAGGTTTGTGCTGGCGACGCAGGACGCGATGCGGCAGAGGGAACTTTATCTTAGAGTCCTGCAACAAACAAACACATACATTTAACAACAACAACAACAAGCCTTTGAGAGGAGCCACGCTGATCTGATCGATGGAGTATAAATATAAAAGTATACGTACGTGGAACTGCTTGATTGCCGGTCTGCGACATTTGTTGGCAGCAATGATTTGGACCTTCATGATCTGGATGGAGTGAGCGCGAGCACGATGACGAGCGCCCATATCACGATCTGAGGAGGAGGAAGACGAGAGGAGGAAGAGGAGAGGAGGAAGAGGAGAAGAGGAGAGGAGGAAGAGGAGGGTTAGTATAAGGAGGAGCTAACGTAAAGCCTATATATAAACAACCTAGAACACTCTCTTCAGACCGTTGGGACTCTTTTCCATCAGGAACCGGTTCTCCTCTGGAGCTCCACGTGTTCCCACCGCTCAGAGCCCCGTGGAGCTCCAGAGGAGAACCGGTTCTTCTCTGGAGCTCCACGTGTTCCCACCGCTCAGAGCCCCGTGGAGCTCCAGAGGAGCTGCGTCATCATGGAAACGATGAAGGTGGAAACCCCTCATATCAACAACAACGATCCCGGTAGTTCTTTCTTGAGTCTAGCTTGTTGCGATCAGCTCCAGAGTCCGGTGGGATCCAGCTTCAGACCACTGCGACGACTGTGTGTGTGTGTGTGTGTGTGTGTGTGTGTGTGTGTGTGTCTTTAACACTTTCCCTTTGTTCCCATCAGCACTGATTGAGAGCAGCCCCTTC